CCCCCCCCCCCCCGTGGATTGGGGCCCACACGGTAAACAATGCTCCCCTTATGCAAGCGGTCTTCATCTCGGGAGAACCACGATGGGACCCAACGTTTTTTTCCCTCCCCCTCCCCAGGTCTGATTTCGCCAGCCACCCCCCAGCCGAAGGAGGCGCCTTCAGCCCCGTCTCGTTCAAGCCCAACTTCCACCCGGACGACATCCAGATGCTGGTGTGGAAGCGTCTCCTGCGCAAGGTGCTCCCAGGTATACCCGGGGGGGCCTCTTGGCTGTGGGGGGAGGCAGACTCCCCCAAGGGACCGGGACGAGCAGCTGGGCCTGCTCAAACACCGGCAATCTTTGCCCACATTTTTGGGGAAGGCACAGGTTGCCCCAGAGGGCAGGGGTGGGGATGGGAGAGTGTGGAGCCACCCAAAGGGTTTGGGGTGGGGAGGGAATCCTTGGACGCTGCCCCACGGAACCTCTGGCCTTTCTCTTTCCCTGGGTCCTGGGAACAGGATCCTCAGAGCCAGGGGGCGGTGGGTGGTTGGAGACGGGTCCCCATGCCAGGCCGGGCACTGGAAGGGCATGTTCCCGGAAGAAGGCTGGAAGGGCCACTCCTCGCGCCTGACACACAGATCCCCTCCTCTTCCTCCTCCCGGCAGCCCCCGAGATGCTGAAGCTCAACCCGGCCAGCGCCCACCCGCTGCTGGAGCTCTCCAAGGGCAACACGGTGGTGAACTGCGGCCTCTTCTTCCAGCGCCGGGGGAGCAACCCGGAGCGCTTCGACGACAGCAACTGCGTGGCCGCCTCCAAGGGCTTCTCGTGGGGGAAGCACTACTGGGAGGTCATCGTGGGGGCCAAGAGCCGCTGGCGCCTGGGCGTGATGAAGGCCACCGTCAGCCGCAAAGGGAAGCTGCCCAAGAGCCCCGAGCAGGGCGTCTGGCTGATCGGCCTGAAGGAGGGCAAGCTCTACGAGGCGTTCGCCAGCCCCCGGGTGGCCCTGCCGCTCACCACCCGCCCCCAGCGGATCGGGGTCTTCCTGCACTACGAGAAGGGGGAGCTGACCTTCTATAACGCCGACAGTCCCGACGAGCTAGTGCCCCTCTACACCTTCCAGGCTGAATTCCAGGGCAAGCTGTACCCGGTGCTGGACATGTGCTGGCCGGAGCGGGGGGCCAACACCCTGCCCCTCATCCTGCCCACCCCCAAGATGCTGCAGGGCCGGGACGACGGCCAGGGCGGGGAGGGCGGTGACGACTCCCCCAGTGCCCAGGAGCCTACCAAGTTGTAAGGGCACCGGGAGACGCCGGGCAGGTGGATCCGTTTCCACCCCTAAGAGGCTCATTCTCGGAGGTTCTTGGCCCCGGCCACCACTTGGCCCAGGGAAGCCTTCTTAGTCTGAATAGCCCTTTTCTCTCTGGACTGAAACAGACTAGGAAGCAATGGCAGATAGCTAGCCCGTTATTAGAAGCGGAGTTCCTTAACGGGTGAAAGACATCTGGTTGTCACAGGAGGGAGTTTCACCACTGTGGTTTGATTATTAGGGGCTCTGCTTTAAAAGGCTTAATTGCTTTTTTGAGAGCACCCTCTGGTGCTCCATTTGAACACTGCAGCTTAGTAAGCACTGCAGATTAAAACATCTTATTTCCTGAAAAAAGGTGGGTGAATTTGGACAATTCAGCTTACTGACCAATGTAGGTTAATAGGACTAAATCTTTTTTTTACAGTGCCCTCTGATGGCAAGCCTGCGCCTACCTGTCCATTAAAAGATCTTTTTCTTAAATGGCACCAGGGCTACCTGATTCGTTACATTAGGCAAATTGTTAGATTCAACCACCAGATGGCACCTTGATCCATAGAATTCGAAAGGGCTTCTGCAAAAGTGTCTTTAAAAAAAAAGTCAGCATTCAGTTAGATGCTGTGAGAAGTTGCCCATTGACGTTATGCATATTGTGAGATGGGCTAAATAACTAATGAGCAATCAGGTAATAAGGCTCACCGCTTAAGGCTCACCATTATCCACATTTGGCATTTAAACCATGCTGCTAGGCATGGAAATTATAAAGGAGGCACTGTCTTATTTCGAGATTTTATGGGCGCATTGAGTCATTACTCTCTGAGACATGAGATATTGGCGCTTTGTAGGCTCAAGAACCACCCCCAGGCCAAGGAAGTAAAATAGTTCAAGTTGAAGAAATACCAGGAGCTGCCCAAATTACACAACAAGAATTTGCTCCATGAAGACATGGCCCTTTTACGGTAGAAAACACTGTCCACAGAACATAAGATTCCCAGAAATATGTCCTGTATTCCTGGGGATCAAAAAAACAAACAAACAAAAGAAAAACAGAAGTTTTTACAAGTTCTGGAACCTTTGCCAGAGAACTATTTAATGCTGTGACTGAAGTAATCCAAATTCTGGACTTTAAAACAGTGGGTGTCTTCAAGATATGGACAAGCTCCAAATATAGAATAGGCATCCCTAAGTCTCGAGAGACTATGATATCGTGCTCTGCATGGAGGACTCAGTATAGTGATAAAGCAAAGAAATAGTTTAGCGCTAGGCCACTAGCAGACAAGATGTAACTTTTGGTAAGCCTCGTGATGTTCTCTCACCAAGGGACAGAAAAGGAAGCAGAAAATGCATTTTATAAGAAATCTGTGCCCGTGGGGATAAGGGCAACAGGCAGATGGATGCCCCAAGTATTTTCCTCCCCGGCTCTCCTCTAGATCTACATGTAGATTGTTACTCTTTGGCCTCCTCCTTTCTCTGAGGTTGCTTCCTGCTCCTGGCTTAAGAAAAACAGAAATAGCTGTGCCAGCTGAACTGTATCCATAGAAGCCAACTCCAGGGGCTTCTCGATCTACATTAAGGGTGCTTTTGTCTTCCTGCACTGCCCATAAGTGGAATTCCCTCGAATACCATAAAACAAGGTGTGTGTGTGTGTTCCTTTTGGGCGATCCTGCCTCCCAGACTGATCGCTTCTCTTCTGTCGTCACAAGGTCTGCACTTAGCCCTGCTTGCCCGCAAGACAAATAACGGCAACATCACTTTAAAGAGGTGTGTGTCTCTGTGTGTGGCCCCCTTTTTCTGAGGACCAAACAAGGGTGAGAAGCAGCACCCCAATGACTGATGCTCTGTTGCACCTTGGTGTTCATGAAGAACAACGAGGTGGGTGGGTAGGTTGATGCTGGTCCCAGGAAACTTGGCCAAAAGCAGCTCCCTGTTTCGAGAGACCCATTGGGGAAGCAGCCTGTCTCATCTCTCCTGCAGAACCCAGATTATCTCCGTGGCCCGTGCAAGCTCATCCCCCTGTCTTTTTTTTGTTTTCCTTCCTCCTTTTGAGTGTCCAAACGTAAGCTGGCAAAATTAAAACTAAACGAAATGGAAGCCTCGAGTCCAGTCCCTCTTCTACCCCCCCGGCTCAGATCTGAGTTATTTTAACAGCCAAAGCCACTTGAAACCCTCATCACACCCTCTGCCCCAAAACACAGAAGTTCTGTTCATTCCGCCCGAGACGGACCCTCCAATCTTTCCACCGACCTTAAGAGGACGCTTGGGTTTCTGGACGACATAGCCCAGAATCCCCAGCCAACAGCCTCGTCGACGGCGCTAACCTTTCTCCCATCGTCTGACTGGTTCTGTGCCCGAGATGGAGATTTCTCTGACCCTTCCAAGGGGGCGTGGGGGGTGTGTAAAGCAGGGCACGGGGGCAGCTTTCTCTTGGCGCTTCCGCACGCACACCCGACGCCCGGCTGGGACTCAGCACCAGCTTGAAGCCGGAGGGTGCTGGCTGGCTGGCACCTTTGGCCTTCCTGAGTATCCCCCCCCCTTTCCTCCTTTAAATTTCTGGTATGGAAGGATGATTGGGGGCAGGGGAGGGAAGACATTTGTTCTTCCAGCGCTGAGTTTGTCTTGGCAGGAGCCAGGAGACGCAGCCTCCCAACATGATGGTGGTTGTTTCGTGGCCAGGTTGTTTAATGAAAAGGGGTTCTGTCTCTCCCCTCCAAGGCCTAATGCTGAATGTTTTCCTTCTTAATACACTGTTCACTTCATTATTAGCTGAAAGAAGCTCTTTTAAACCGTTTTTCCAAAAAAAGGGCAAAAAAAATCTCTCCCCCCCCTCTCTCTCTCCTTTCCCTCTTTTTCTTATTTTTCCAAAAAAAAGACACAAAAGTCTCTTCATGCCACTGGAGCGGTGGCGGGCAGCAGGAACGTTTTTGGGACCTGCAAAGTCCTGCGGACAGGAAGTGAGAAGCAGGAGGGTTGCAATCCACACCGTCAAGGCTTTATTCACCAGGGAGATGGAACAGGGGGTACCCAGGACCGCGGGCTGGTTTGCAGCTGGCTGCCTGGCTCCCAAACCTGGCCAGGCTTGCCCCCTTTTGTTCCAGGTGTTGCTGCTGCAGTGGGATGAGGTGTGCTTTTGAGGAGCACGCTGAGAAGATTGCCCATTTTCTTCCTTGGCCTTTCGGTGTTTGCTCTTTCTGATCCTGCAGGAAATCCTGCGTGCTTCACCAGCGTTACTCACCTCCGCGCGGTGTGTGCCATTAGAGAGAAGTCATTCTGGCATTTGCAACAGAGATTGAAAAGTCACTTTTTTAAAAAAAAGTCATCAGTTACACTTATTTTGATAACTATGCTAGTCCATTGTCTGCTGCAGAGAAAACAGCGAAGAATCCTACATGTAAAAACTCACAAGTCTTATTGGGCATAAACTTTTGCAGTATACATACCAGTACGCAAACAGCTGCTACGGTTCATGGCACCCTATGATAAGCAGAACTTGGCAGTTCTTAATGGAGAGGTTATGAATGCATTCGACAAGCAGAAGGTATAATGTTCCTCACTGACAACTGTGAAGGCTACTTGATAAAGCCAACGAAACAAGCAATGAACACGATCTAAAAACGAATGTTAAGAAAACCAAGTTCACAGCAATCAGTTAAAAAAAAATCAAGCAGGCACCAAATGAAAGGTTGACATCCACTGGGAAGGAGAAATACGTTTGCATTTGGCTGAGTGAAGTTTGGGAACTTCAGGCTCAAGATGCTCCAGATATGCTTGAGTTAGAGGGCAAGCATAATTTGCAAACTAACAAAAACCCTCCAAAGGTATCTTGGAGAATGTGCATTGCCCGGGGCGAACTCTTCACAGTTCTGCTCTGTGGCCTGCAATTCTGGACTTCAACAACAAGCCAGAATTCATAAGCACACAACAAACCATGGCTTCTAAATCGTGGCTTATGACCGGTGAATGAACCATGGTTTGTTTGGGAGGCTTACTGTTACCGGCAAGCTTGATCAATTCGGGTCTCGGCATTCTGTGCATGTGACGGAAAAGGGGGCCGGGAGACAGGGAGGGAGAGAAGTGTTGCTATTTTGCAGGTAAAAATGGACTGGGGGGGCAACCACTGTGTCATTCTGCTGCAGCAAGAAGAGCAAAATCCTGTAAGTGCTCCTGATACAAACAAATTGATTAAGAGGTAAGGTTTCAAAGGCCCCGATTCTGCTCCTTTTGGATGCATGAAAGAAATCAAGCCGAAGCGGAGGTGGAGAAACCCCTTTCTTGTCTTTCCACGAAGTGATCTCAGTCCTGTTCACCCTCATTTATGCAACTGCCCCTGTTCGAGGTGAGGGAGTGCCGTTATTTTCTCCTCCTCTTCCCCCCACCCCACCAGGGGAGGGACTAGCAAATGGGAAATAAAGCTAGCTTTGTGGGAATTAATAGATCAATTCTTGCAGAACAGGAAATGAGTCAAGGGCTGGGTGGGAGGGACTCTGTAGGTGGGTGGCTTTGCCAGGTCAAAATATCTTGGCTGCCACCCCCACCACCCCCACATGGATGGAGAAGGGGTCCAGATGTAACCCCTTCAATCCCAGCTGGCACAGTCAGGGACCCAGTGCGAAGGGAGTGGGTCACCTCACAGGCCACAGGCCACCTCCTCTGTACCACGAGGCTCTCCGAAGCTCTTCCATGGCATCTTTCCACGTGCCTGGCTTCTGTGCCCCAGCCTCTCACCTCCGTAGCTGGCATGCACCCATTTCAGGGCAAGACCGATCTCTGCCACCCTAGGGGCCGAGAGTGTCATTTTTCTCTTGAAGAACGAAGAGAGTCTCTCCTGCCCCGCCAAACGACAACACGCAGGCGGATTCTCTTTTTCATTGGAAACTACCGTAAACACAGCCCGCCTTCCCACTAAGCCCAGTTGAGGTGTTCAGGAGCTACAAGACAAGTTCCCTTCTGCCCATGGAACCACCATACCCGGCAGTCCGCAAAATGACATATTAAGAACTGAGCCACAAACTGACGAGGATCCGCTTTCCGGATCCCACTGAGCAGCAGAAAAGTGACTTTTTGTGACCGTTATCTGGCGGTGCCATCACGCCCAATGCCTGCCAGACCTGCACTCTTCTGAGTTGAATCCCTCTCTGCTTAGGGGCCTGAAATCCGGCAGCTGAAATCCCGGCCGTCCCTCTTCAATGCATTTGTAGGTCTTCGCCAAACGA